GAAACACTAGAACAACTTTCCGAATAATAGTCCGGAGAAGTGATCATCAGCTCGGAAGACTTAGCACAGATTTCTGCACAATGATGTAATAGCCGATCACCAGGCAGGTTTGTGCGACATATTAATTTCGCATATATACTCGTAACCCTATTTTTTCCCAAACAAATGTGAGAAAATGGCTGTTTAGGCGCTTCGCATGAAAGGGGGTCTAGTTGCAACACAGGACAAGCTCTAAAAGTAAATAGTGACAGCAAAAGCATATGTTGTGAAAGGCTGGTGGACTTTGCAATTCCGAGATCTACAAGAACTAACTATCTTTATGTCTTGCCATACCAAAAGGGGTTTCATTTCCCCTATTTTTATCATTGACCGCAGTAGTAAAGATAAAAAAGCTAGTATATTTTTTCTAATAAAATATAAATACGGCACTAAGCCATGCATTTATTTAGACGCAAAAAAATGCAATCAAATTTTGTTAATCTCAATTGTCTCGTCCTAGGGGATCTTTTTAAAAATAGGATCACTGTTAAAATTGGTCAATATGAAAGTGTAGGTGAACTCAAGAGACTTATTAAAGCTGAAAAAATGCACTTTTCAATTTTTGGCGCGAGCGACCTTAGGTTATGGCTTACGGATTTACCAATTGGAGAAGGTAACGACATTCCAGAATGGGATCTTCTCGACCATGATGAAATTTTTTCAAATAATCAAGTTAGATTCGTTTGGCAAGAAGATCCGGATTTATCAAAAATACATGTAATCATTAAACTACCTGGTGCGTAACCCATACTTCAATTATGATTAAATTTAAGTCATAATATTAATTTCAATCGATATCTTATTCTCGTCATTTAGAAATTGATCAACCGAAAAAAATAATTTTAAATTGTCTCGTTATTTCTCAAGCATCATTTAAAAGTATCTCAAGACATGATGTTATTACGCTTGAGACATCTCATGATAAAACAGTTGATCAACTAAGGCCTATGATTAAGGAACACTGGTCATCTTTATTTGAAAATATTCTTCCTACCAACTTTATTCTTCACTATATCGATAGAAGTACAACAACAACTATCCAACAACAAATCAATTTTTATAAAGAAGGAAATGGTGATCTTGGTAATTTTGGTACAGAATTAGTTCCAGGTGATTTAATTTCTAAAGATTTTCGCTTCCAGCCTCCTATTGACAAAATACATATTATTGTAAAAATACCATAAGATTTATTCGCATGTACTGTACATGGCCGGGTTCTGGCAACGATTTATTTCATAAATAAAGTTTTTATTATTTTATCGAATGAACATAAGAAAACGAGTCACGTGTAATGATGCGGTCCTAAAGGGACCATGCAATGCCTGTGCGACGTTCTCACTAGATTCGAAAAGATAAATAATTTACTTTCGAGGGACTTTCTCCTTCGTAGCAGTGATCACCAGTCTGGAATATTTTTTTTGCTTAGCCACGAATTGTGTGACAAAATAGACTGATCGCAGGTCTGCGTGACATTTTCGCATATATATATCGAAAAAACATATTAACCTTTATTCTTTATTTTTTCCCGAACAATCATGAGAAAAATGGCCCTTTAGGCGCCACCGAATTTTTAAAACTTTGTGTAGTATCGTACCGGCGATAACGATGAGGCGGAATGGAATTATGTGAAAATGAAT